GCAATTTATTCTCGATTTTAGATACCAATCGTTTCATGCTCATCTGATAATACAAACGAAATGAAAAAAATAGTTGAAGCGACTAAAATTAGTTTTGAAAATAATTCATATGACAAAGAAGAACTAAACCAGTTTTGGATAAAAACCTATGAATATCGCCAAGAATTCATAAGAAACAATACAACACAAGATATAATTAAACAATTTCCTGAGTATTCAGATCCGTCTCGAGTAACGATTTATGTCAAGACTACTATTCTGAGACTTTCAGTTTCCTTTTCAGATATTTTCAGATGTAAAAATGTTAACTGGTGTTGATTTACAAACTTCTCTTCAAGAAAAAATGAACTTTCTTGCTAGAAATCTTTGCACAAATAACCAATATCCAACAGGTATGTTGACAATTATACTTCTGTTGCATACACCAGCCTTTCGTCTAGATCATAGAACTATTCATTGCTTCAAAATATTATGTGGAATGTTGAATGACTGTTGGAAACATTATTTTCGTTTTTATCCAGAAGTAAGTGGTATAGTCAGCACTCATTCTTCCAAATAAAATAAGTACATTGCATATGAGCAGACACAACTGAGTCATTTTCTCAGTCCAAATACCCATCAGTACTTTCCGTAAGAGTCAAAAAAGCGAATATCACCATTTCGATTATGCTTATTCCTCTATATCGATAAGTATCATCAGTGTATTAAATCCTTTATGTGGTGCCGGTTTTTAATATTAGATAACTTATGCTAGAAAAAGAGGATTACATTCAATACGTTGATCTTTACTATATTGTTTCTTCCTTTTTTTCAGACACCAGTTACTCCTTTACCAACAATACAAGTAGAGGAAGATCATTTCAATGTTTATCTCGATTGGACTTTCATTTGCTCATCAAAATCAATTGAAGAATCAATTGCTATTCTTATTGGATTATACTCGTTGATGGATCTCAAATTTAATACGTATAGAATGGCAGCAAGATTTCTTTATGCATATTTAATAAACGATCAACAAAAACAGCCAAACAACATTCGTAAGATTTTTAAAGAACATAGTATTGAGCTTGTATGTATGCCCATATCATCTGTTCAACATCAACATCAATCATCTATCCAACTGCAACATCAATCATCTATCCAACTGCAACATCAATCTCCATCATCTGTCGAACAAATTAAAGAAATAAACAACAACAATAATTTTTTTCCTGATGATCGTGACGACAGTGTTCATGATTTGGTTATTGACGACGAAGAAAACGATGAGCAAGAAATAAATATCAACATTTCAACATCAAAAACAATTTTAATGAAATCTACTCCAAAACCTTCTCAAAAAAGAAAAGCTAATCATTTACCAGAGAATACAGATTTGGGTGAAGAAGAAAACACTCCACCAAGAAAAAAACTCACCAATTCAAAACGAACCAAGCGTCATTAACATTCAAACGCTACAAATCACAAATAAAAATAACTTTTAACTCTCTCTATCCAGTGACTTAAAAAATCAAAAAAAATTCATCACTTTCGTGCAAATGATGTCAAAAATATGAAAATAATGCCGTTTCTGATGATGAAACGAATATATTCTTTAATCTTTTTAAAAATTCATGATTAAAAGTAGCATTTTAATCAAAATCATGCAATGAGTTTGATTAAAAATCAAAATCATACGATGAATTTCATTACAAAATCAAACTCATGCAGTGAATTTCATTAAAACATCAAATTCACTTAGTGATTTTGATTTTTTAATGAAATTGATCGTATGATTTTGACTTTCAATGAAATTCATTACACGACTTTGATTTTTAATCAAATTCATTGCATGATTTTGATTAAAATGTTACTTTTAATCAATGGATTTTAAAAAAATCAAAGGAGATGTCTGTTTCAGCATCAGAAATTGCATTATTTTCATGTTTTTGACATCATTTTCACGAAAGCGATGAATTTTTTTTGATTTTTTAAGTCACTGAGTATCTACCTCTTCACTTATTTGAGGGGATCCCGTTTTTATTTTAGTACAAAAAAAATCAAGTTTTTTTTTTCATTCATATTCTTTTTAAATTTTATTATGATGAGAGATGTTGTTTTTAAAACTGAACACTAAATAAAACGTTTTGCATAATTTTTATTAAGATATATTTACTTCTGCATACTTCAACATATACTTTCGGTACCTGATACTCAAAATTTTTCTCAAACATACTCAAAAACGAAGACAAAATTTGAATGGTAATGAAATGAAAGATCCCACGACTGCAACTGATCTCAGGAATATGGTTTCTACACACTTACAGAATTTACGAATTTCACAGTATATAGGATATTGACTTCCACAAGAATAAATACTCTACGACTCTGAATCTGAACTCGGACTTATTCCGACACTATGACTGCGAGATTCTGGAAGACTTCAAGGCTGTGACTCTAGCGAATACTCTGACTTTGACTATCATCGAGACTCTATGACCATAGGACTCAAACTGACTTCAAAACATTGGTTGCTTGAAGGACAAGAATATTGCAGGACTTCAAGAATTTATGACTTTGTGTCTCGGACTGAGCTTCAGACTCTGACTTTGAGAAACATGAAGACTTCATGACTTCGATACACTTCAGCAACCTAATATAAGATTTCATTTTTTTTTCTTTCTGTTTATTATTCAATCCCAAGACTTAGAGGTAGAAAGAACCAATTTCGTCAGAACGGCCGCTTTCTACTAATCTTAACTAGCGGTATAGAACTTGGAGGTTTTCAGCTCCATTATCAAAAATGGTTGTATCCGCAACCCAGGTCCTATTGCAGCAAAATATTTTAAATCCAGTAGCATCGCCCTCTCCATGTAAGCACAAAATCCCTTCATTTTTAAACAAGCTCTAAATCAATACTAAGAAATCAAACGTAATAGTAACGCCGCATGCACCCGTTTTTCATTAATATTACAAAACTCAGCGTTCATTTTTCTCCTTTTCTTAAACTAACGGTTAGTTTCTCAATCAATTCTTAGTTTGAAATTCATCTAAATCGCTCATGTCTAACTTCATCTTTCTTTTGGATTCATGATACGAACCATTCAAATGTAAGTTACATTTAATTGGATAAATATATCTATTTCCTTTTCATTTAGACTCCTCAAATGAAGGACATAATCCTAAGTTTTATCTTCTCTGAAAAACCTATTCTTTTTTTAGATATCCCATACCAACCCATGTAAAAAAAAATATGTAAAAAAATCAATTTTAATAATCAAAAAATCGATTAAAAATCGATTTTAATCATACACCTTTAATCAATAATTCAAGCAGTAATAATCAAAACAAAATCAGATGATAATCGATTATTTCAAATATGATGATTAGAATCGATTTTCTAAATTTTATCAAATCGATTATAATCATCATATTTGAAATAATCAATTATCATCTGATTTTGTTTTGATTATTACTGCTTGAATTATTGATTAAAGGTGTATGATTAAAATCGATTTTTAATCGATTTTTTGATTATTTTTTTTTACATGGGAACGATACAATGGTAAGATTTATTTTCTTGAATCAATCAATTTTTTTTTTATTTAGATATTTCACATGATTGATAGAATGGTAAGTTTCATTTTGTTTAATATGTCTATCTTTTTTTCGTTTAGATTCATCAAATGAAAGACATAGTGATAAGTTTCATTTTCTTAAATCCATTTAATTTCTTTCTTTATTTAGATATTTCATGTGAATAGCAAAATGATAAGCTTTATTTTCTTGAATCAATCTAATTTCTTTTTTATTTAGATATTTCATATGAATAATAGAATGGTAAGTTTTATTTTGTTTAATGTATCTATCTTTTTTTCCTTTAGATTCATCAAATGAAAGATAGTGGTAAGTTTTATTTTTTTGAGTCAATCTAATTTCTTTCTTTATCTAGATATTTCATATGAATGTCTGAATGGTAAGTTTTACTTTCTTGAATCGGTCTAATCTCTTTTTCTATTTAGATATTTCATATGAATGATAGAATGGTAAATTTCGTTTTGTTTAATATATCTATCTTTTTTTTCGTTTAGACTCATCAAATGAAAGACATAGTGGTAAGTTTTATTTTCTTGAGTCAATCTAGTTTCTTTTTTTAGTTAGGTATTCCATATGAACGATAGAATGCTAACTCTCTTTTTGTTTAGTATATCTATCTCTTTTTCGTTTAGATTCATCAAATGAAAAATAGTGGTAAGTTTCATTTTCTTAAATCAATCTAATTTCTTTTTTATTTAGATATTTCATATGAATGGTAGAATGGTAAGTTTCATTTTGTTTAATATATCTATCTTTTTTTTCGTTTAGACTCATCAAATGAAAGATAGTGGTAAGTTTTATTTTCTTAAATCAATCTAATTTTTGTTTTTATTTAGATATTTCATATGAATGGCAAAATGGTAAGTTCTATTTTCTTGAGTCAATCTAGTTTCTTTTTTTATTTAGATATTTCATATGAATAATAGAATGGTATGCTTCATTTTGTTTAATATATCTATCTTTTTTTCGTTTAGATTCATCAAATAAAAGACATAGTGATAAGTTTTATTTTCTTGAATCAATTTAATTTGTTTATTTATTTAGATATTTCATATGAATGACCGAATGGTAAATATTATTTTCTTGAATCAGTCTAATTTCTTTTTCTATTTAGGTATTTCATATGAATGATAGAATGGTATGCTTCATTTTGTTTAATATATCTATCTTTTTTTTGTTTAGATTCATCAAATGCAAGACATAATGATAAGTTTTATTTTCTT